CAATTTAGAGGAAAGGAATTATGTAAACTTCAAAGGAAATTTTTAAATGACTGTAAATGAAATTGATGTACCAAGAGGAGAAATTTTAGAAAACATCCAGTACATTATAACCGTCTGTCAATGTTTGCTTTTTTGCTACCTTTAGATCTTATTTCAGTTGGGAAGATTTTGGCCATAAGTAACAAAAAACCCTGACTTGAATGGCTTAAACAGTAAGAAAACTTATAATCCTACATAAAAAGTTCAAGTAGAGTAGGTGGGCTCCAGCAGCTTGGTGTATCACCAGGGACCCAAGTTCTTGCCATCTCTTTGCTCTGCCATTTTTGTGTGGCTTCATTCTCAGGCTGGTAGCTTGATGTCTGTATCTGTACCACCCATCCAGACCTACTAGCAACCAGAAGAAGATGAGCAATTTTATCTGTGTCTCCTTCACAGACTTGAAGAACTCTTTCTGAGAGTTTCTCCCAGAAAACCTCTCCTCATGTCTCCTCACGACTTATTGGTCAGAAACAGGTCATGTGGCCATTTTCCCAGTCATTGCCAGTGACAATGAGATTCCTATAATTGTCTCTGAGTAATCCTCCTTCAGAGTAGAGAAGGTGCTGGGGAGTCTACAGCACTGGACATTACAATTCTGTGCTTTTTATCAGTAACAGAATGTATCATTTTCCCCTGTATTTTAATCCCCTTAAGGATTAATATTATTTATATTTATGCCTGTTATGAATAGTCTCAATTAAATTTAAGTAAATTTATAAAGCTAGAACTTCAAGTTTGGATGCATCAGTACCCTTAAATTTTATATGTGAGTGGTTTTTAAATTTTCACATTTGAAATAAAGTAATTTTTATAACCTTAATATGGCATGATTATTCTTTTAATAAAGCTAAAGCCTACAGACTCCTACATTTGGAAGCCTTGTTTTCCTTCACCACTCTGTTTATACCTTCTACCTTTATTTGTCTTTTCAGCCTCCCCCACACCAAAAGACTTGACCTTGAAGAAAAGAGACTATCAGGCACAAACACTATTTCTTACCTCATCTTATAGATTCAATCACGATGGAAGTCCTGTCCTATGTATTTTTCTTTTCCCTGTTCCCTCTGCCATTTACTAAATCAAAGGCCTAGTTTCTCACTTATATTATTGTAATAATCTCTTAATTGTTCACCCTGACTTTGCTTAAAGTTTTTAAATGGCCCCCCATTTCTTACAGGCACATGAGGTATTCCATAACCTGGCACCTGCCTCTCTCTTCAACCTCAGCTCTTGTCACTCTCCCCATGAACTGTTCTCCAACCACACGTTGGCTGAGGAGTCTGAACATACATGCTCTTTACCTTTTGCTCCTATACCTTTTGCGTTGCTCCTTCTAATCTGCCTGTACTATTCTTTTTTTTTCCTTTTTGTCTTTTTTCATGTCTGGCAACGGATCGCAACCCTCAGTGTCGCGCCCGTACCGGACCGGGACCGGCAACGGAATCGCAACCCTCGGTGTTGCGCCCGCACCTCGCTCAGCCAGTGAGCGGGAACCGGTCTGTATGTGGGATCCGAACCCTTGGGAGCGCCACCGCGCTCCCAAGCGGCGCACTGCAGCAGTGCGCCACCGGGCCGGCCCCCTGCCTGTACTATTCTAACTCTCTTCTCCATGTGGCAAATGTTCATGTTTATTACAACCCAGCTCAAACACCTATCAATACCTCCTCTATCATTCAAGTGGCTTTCATCATTATTCTTTTCTTCCATAGCACTGTACATTTACTATGGCACTTAGGATGCATTTTAAGTGTATCCATAAAGCTGTCTCTAAGCTTGACTCTAAGTTTATAAGAAGCAGGTACAATATCTCAATCATCTTTGCATTCCCTGTGCTTAGCACGATGTCTGCCACACAGTAACCATTTATTCAGATATTTCCTTAATAACATAAAATAGCATTCAAATTTGAAACTAGCTGAGGTATTCTGACTTGAATATACAGGAAGATGTAATGATGTTTCAAGCCTGAAAAGATATTGCCTTGGGTAGAATGTCCCCCCAAAACTTAGTCCACACTGTAACTGTTGAGGTGGGAAATCCTATTACGGTAATTGGAAAGTGGGGCGTTGAAGAGGTGATTAAGTTGATGGTTCAGTAGTGGTTGTGGGTGTGGTTCCAAGGGCTTTAAAAGGAGAGGGCATGTGGAACTCTATCTCTCTCTGCCATTTTCTGCCATGTGAGACCCCTGCATTGCTGTAAAGCCACCACCAAAGAAGACCCTCACTAGATGTGTTCCCTGGACTTTGGACTTCCCAGCTTCAGAAATTTTAAGTAATAACTTTTGTTTTCTTACAAATTACCCAGTTCCAAGTATTTTGTTATAAGCAACAGATACAGACTAATACAGGTATTGTCAGAAACTTTAAGTAATAACTTTTGTTTTCTTACAAATTACCCAGTTCCAAGTATTTTGTTATAAGCAACAGATACAGACTAATACAGGTATTGTCTGTTACCTTTAAAAATGATTGTTAGTAAGCTCTTACTAAGGGAGGGTGGTTATTGTAAAGAATTGAGGGCATGGTTATGTGAAGAAAGGAATACTCTCAGTTATACGTTGATGAGTATTAAATATTCAGTTTTGTGTTAATAATAAGGTTTTCTTAAACTTTCTTAGAGGAGGAAGTTCTTTCTTGTCACGTAAGTGAGACTTTTTGAGCCCACGCCCTTTTGTTGGTGTTTAATCAATCAAATACATTTATTCTATGCAACTTATTGTATTGGCTCAAAATTATTTTTGTCTTTTATTTTGGTCCTTGTGATTCACTTCAGCTCTGTGATACTGGAAATTTCCAAGTCCAGTTGTGAAATTTGTGTGTTCAGGGCTTGTTAGTTCTATAAGGGTTTTCTTTTTCTTTACTTTTTAATAATTCTGATATGTATCAGCAATCTGCTGAATTTATTGTAAGTTTATCAACCTGCTGAACTTAAATTATGAATCTCACAGTTGATAAGTCCTTTAATTATCCTTCCAACCAGATTTCTGATTACCAACAAAACATAAATACCCGTCTCTTTTATCTGACAATGTAATACAAAATCAAGGCAAATGTATTTAAAACTAAAATTAAATGGTAACAGAATAAAACTAATTTCAACTGTAGATATCTTTAGTGATCGTTTAAAAAATTCCTTAGAACACAGTATGCAGATATTCAGAGTTCTGTTTTGCTTTGTTTTCAAAGATACTTTTGTCTTGTCCTTTTCCAATTTTATGCAATTCTCAATTTTACATAATTATGTATTGAAAAGTCCATTTAGATACTTAAATACTTAACAGTATTTTTTGAAAATCCTCTCTTATTGTCATTAAATGCTATAGGTCTTTATCACACCTTTGATCTAAGTTGAATTTGTTCTTTCCTTATTTTCACACATTTGATGAGAGTCCACCAGTTTCTGAATTGGTTTTTATTTTACTTTATTAAGTACAACTTACATGTTTATTCAAATCCCCATACACCTCTCAAAGGACAGTAACAGTTTAGTTTTTCTGATTCTGCAAAATTTTAAATATAATAAGGCCAACTTGCACATTTAACAGATTCTTCCTAGACACATTGAAAAAAAAAAACCTCATAAATCTAATAGAGCACATACACATTTGGTAGACCAATTTCTCTAAGCATTTAAATATCTGAAAAAGGAAACAAACATTGATAGTAAAACCTATGTAAATATAACTTGCACAAAAATATAATTTCTTTATTCCAACATTATAGATTTTCTCCCCTAGTCATAGTTAAAAGAATTACCAATCCAGGTCCACTATACTAAGGCAACCGTCAGATTTTGGATGAGAGTCTGGAAATGGGATATAGAACCACTAGTGTTAGATTCGGCCCCTTATGCTTAGGTGTCAAAGGTAGGGTTCTTCCAACACAAAGTCTGAGACAAGGACTTGGAGTTGGGTGGTTTATTTGAGAG